CGACAATATCGACAATATGATTTCAAATATCTTCAACTTACTTCAGTTTCTTTCATATTTTCGAATAAAACATTGTCAACTTGAAAAGCTACAACTCATAAAAACGAATGTCGAGTCTACAAAATGAGCAAAGCCTTATTTTTATTCTATTTATCTATTCAAGTATTTTTGTATTACTGAGATTAAATTCTTTCATTGAACTACATACATATTACAGTGAATCATTATCAGTTCACTTAATTACTGAGCTTCTTACGAATTACTTAGAAAATTGAAATATTGCACATATAATTGTTCCACCTTGACTTGAAGTGAATTTATCTCTAGAATATTCATGGTAGTACTAACCAATCCTAAGAAAAAGGATATTATATAATCTCACATTATGTAACCAATCTATCGATTCATTGAAGCGTTCAATTATTTTGTCCGAACTGAGTATTCAAGGAAAAAACATGACCGCTGTCTATTTCGAATTTTCAAAGAATATAATTAAAACATATTTGAAGATTTATTTTCGAATGAGCTTCTAAGGTAAAATGAGAACACGCGATAACTTGTTGAAACCGAAAACAAATCATTCGAACAAAACAAGCACTTTCAAGAATCACCGGAAATGCAAAACTTTTTCCTTCACAACTTCCAATCTATCATATCTGGTTCCTTTCAATGCTTGTTTCACTATCGGGAACATAAAAAGTCGCGCGGAGCTGGATCTGGTGGCCTAAAATTACTCAACCATCAGTATAGTGTAGGCTGAAGCATTGTTCCAATTGTCCAGTACTTGTTCTTTTATAACTATTATCACTTTCTTCTTACTGGCTAGTGGCTAGAACTTAAAGATATTCTTTTGGAACCCAATTTATATACATAAATTTATGGATGTCGAAAAAAAAATCATTTGGAGTTTTCTTTAGAGTATGGAGTTTTCTAGAATCGTGGTAACTGTGGCTAGATTGATTGGCGCTTATTAGTTTCTAGATCACAGGTAACAAACCATGATTCATCACATTCTATCCAACAGTTAATGTTTTTCACGATTTTAAAATATTTCCACTCCTGAGTCCTGAAATGTTCATCTAACTGACTCTTTGTCGATTTCTACAGTATAGGTAGGTCTTCGTTGCCGATTTACCTGATATCACTAAAATTTTCACAATGACACGTTACTCAATTAAAACGCCTACCATTTTCATGACGAGCGGCATGAAGGTACGACAAGAACAAAAGTTGTAGTTACTCCAACTAAACAAGCAAGTATCGTCCAACCGGCTGGAATGTGGAGGGAAGTGTCAGGCGACTTGGTAATATAACGTTTGACTTCAAGGTTCGCACTTTTTGTCTCTCAGAAAACAAAAGTTGCAGTCCAACTTAACAAGCAAGTGTCGTCCAAACGGCTGCAATGTGGAGGGGAGTATCAGGCGACTTGGTAATATGACGTTTGACTTCAAGGTTCGCACTTTTTGTCACTCAAAAAACAAAAGTTACAGTCCAACGGAACAAGCAAGTGTCGTCAAACCGGCTGGAATGTGGAGGAGAGTGTCAGGCGACTTGGTAATATGACGCTTGTCTTCAAGGTTCGCACTTTTTGTCTCTCAGAAAACAAAAGTTGCAGTCCAACTGAACAAGCAAGTGTCGTCCAACCGGCTGGAATGTGGAGGGGAGTGTCAGGCGACTTGGTAATATAACGTTTGACTTCAAGGTTCGCACTTTTTGTCTCTCAGAAAACCAGTGCCTTTATTTTCTAGCCACATCTTGAATGCCTACTATTTTTTTCTGTCATAGTATCACATCAGCTCATAATAATAATTATGTCCGTTGATAATAACTATTAATTATGACCGTGGTTTTTGAGTTTATCCAATTCAAACGGAGGACTTTTCTGAAAATATGTAGTAATGAAGGTAATAATTTTTCTCAACCGTATTTGTTGATGATACCTTTGATTTACTTTTTTCCAATTTCTTCAATATAGGCAACATAACTATTCAATAATTCTGTTCCTGTGAACCTGCTCTTCACTTTAACAACATTTAGATTGAATTAATCACAACTGTGACATAATTTTTTTATTGATTTTTTTATTGTTATTTTTTTTTTCACTGTACTGAACAATTCTTATTTTATTTTTTTCGTTACTCCATTTTTGTTTTTTACCTTCCAGTTTATTTCCCAGTCAATTCGATAACGCTTCTATACTTTCTGAAAAGGAAATATTATTGAAATTTTAACACTTTTTCATGAAGTTCATTCCAACTAATTAATTTTCAAAATTCTATGTATCGGTATTCATTGTCACCAGTCCATATTAAATTTGGATAACGTTACTTTTATTCCACATTGAACCATAGACATGAAAACATTACAATGAATACCACTACCAACAAAGAAGATGAAAGTTACAAACAAAATGTACATATGTGCATGCCATCATTCACTTTCTACTCTAACCTCAATTCACAGAAGACCACGAAAACTATACCGTTTTCAAGGTTCTGAGAATTTAAAGTGAACGTTTTGATGAAAGTGAAAACCGTTGTGAGATTAATCTCACGATATAACTCACGACATCCAAAATGCATCTGAAATCTAAAATTAAAATACACTAAAATGATATTTATCATCGAAGAGGAATGCTTTTCTTTCAAATTTCGTTCAAGTATCTTTCTCAAAATTTAAGTGATGTCAATACTTCCGCAATTTAAAAACAATAGTTTCTTCAAATTCGTTGTTTGGAAATTGTTGCTAAAAATGAATATTTTATAGAATATCCAAATATTAGCGATCGTACTCATTTCAGAACCAAATCAAACGAAAAATCCTACATGATAACTTGATTCTACAATTTTACCTTCACTTCCCCAAAAAATCCATTCCACATTTTTTTTTAAATTACTGGTTAATTTCCACTTTAAATCAATATAAAACTCCAGTCAATTACTGTATAATAGGTATTCAAAGAAATCATCTTCACTATCACTACATAGTATCTATACATTAAAGTCGCTTCTCGCTGTCTGTTCTTATGTATGCTCAGATCTTCACAATAAATATAGTTTAAAAAACTAAAAAACACGCTTTTAAAGAACATCGATCTAAAAAGTGAAAACATTTTTTTAAAATAAACTTAAAACAACAAACGAAAAATACTAGTATTATTGTGAAGAAAGCGACTCACTCTAGTACTAGCCCTGAGGTTACACGTTGTCTGTTTAAGGCTAATAGGGCTTGTCTGCTGTCAGTGCAGATTGTTATGTTTTTGCCAGAAATTCCTTTCCTGGTTATTTCTTTTGTGGCGATTGAGATACCACCCAGTCCTTTTTGGACCACGCTGGAATTTTTTCCCATTCACCACTTTCAAACATGGTTATAACGTATTACATTTGGAAGAGAAAGGTCTGAAACTCAGTCTTTTGGAATGCTCGGACTTCAGTAGAATCAAGAGTTCTAAACAATTTATCAGTGAAAAAATGGATTTGGAAGATCTGCCGTGGAAACATTTATTTTGTGGGGATAAAATTGGTAACTAGGATAAATTATATTAATAATGGTACTATGAGGCCTGGGTA